AAGACAGGTCCCTCATGCTTTCACAAGCGTTTAATCATACGAAAAGGTGCTGAAGTTGAGCATCTTTTCATATATCTGTTGACCATTTGTATGTCTTAGAAGAAGTGTCTCAGGTCTTCTGCCTAATTTCTTCTTTTTCTTTCTTTAATTTTAAATGATTTCTTTTTAGAGAGAGAGGGAGAGAGAGAGTGGAACATCGATTTGCTGCCACGTGCACAGCCCCAGTTGAGGATGGAGTCTGCAAGGCGGGCATGTGCCCTGACTGGGAATCAAACCCCCAGCTTCTCAGTGCAAGGGATGACACCCAGCCTCCTGAGCCGCACCAGCCAGGGCGTCTGCCCATTTTTTAGTTGGCTTCTTGTTGGTTTGGTGTTGAGTTGTATGAGTTCTTCATATATTTCGAATATTAACCCCTTGTTGTTTTTAATATCTCCTCCCATCTGGTTGGTTGCCCTTTGCTTTGTTGGCAGTTTCTTTTGCTGTGCAGAACCTTTTATTTTGATATAGCCCAATGCATTTACTTTTCATTACAGCATTTTTTTTACAATAGCCAAGATAGAAAAACAACCTAAATGTCCTTTGCTGGATGAGAAACATTTTCTTTCTTAAAAAATAATATTTTTATTGATTTTGGAGAGGACGGGAGAAGGAGAGAGAGATAGAAACATCAATGTTGAGAGAGTCGTTGATTGGCTGCCTCCTGCACGCCCCACACTGGGGACCCAGCTGCAACCCTGGCACGTGCCCTGACTGGGAATCTAACCACGACCTCCCAGTTCATAGGTCGAAGCTCAACCACTGAGCCACATAGGTCGGGCGAGAAACATTGTCTTCACAACGGAAGAGGCCTTAGGTAAAAGCAGACAGAGAAAGGAGGAGAGCTTGCGGTTGAAGATGGGTAGCTGGTGGGTGGGAGATTATCCCAGAGAGAAGTCTAGGTGAACAGGCAGAACACAAGTGCGCTAAACACATTGGTTCTGAACAAACTGATCAATAAACGATGGGGAAAAATGTATGTATCCTTGCTATTTTTTCATGTTGATTTCTGAACCTCACAGGTGTGACTTTGCTCTCTGTCTCATGTGTTTTGTACCTTTATATGAACCTTTATTTGGGGGGGGGGGTGAATAATGTTTTTGAACAATAGAGTAGTTTGGCAACTTTATATCATTTTTTAAAAAGTTTTTATCCCAGGTTTTGGCACCAAAAAACCCCCCACTTTTAAAGCATTTCATTCTTTTTTTGTGTGTGTTAAAAATTTTAAAATAAATTTTACAACAGCAATGACCTTTGTTCATATTTGGCAGTGTTTTTTATTTTTTTTGGGGGGGGGGTGGTTTAAAATCGAGTGAATTTCAGGCCCCAAATGAATTGCCTGAAAACAGTTTGAAATGAATATTTACACATATTGGCTTATGAATTAATAAAATTTATGCACCTGGTGGGGGTATGCAGGAGGCAGCCAATCAGTGATTCTCTCTCATCATTGATGTTTATCTCTCCCAATCCCTTCCTCTCTGAGATCAATAATAATAAAAAAATACAAATTTGCATATATTTTAAAGTAGTTTTGTCCAACTTTCAGCTTACTTTGTTTTAAAAAATCTTGAGCTTCTTTATCATCCACCAATGACGACTTCGTTACCCACAAGCCCCAAGCATTGCTGTGGGGCCAGGTGCTGCCCAGAGCACTCACAGACCCTATTATTTCACTGACTCCTCCCTACAACGTCACCTGGCAGGTTCTGCAATGTATTTCCCAGTTTCACAGATAAGAAACCTAAGGCCTGGAGCATAGACTTATAATTAAGCCATAGAGGTCAGTTCAAATCCTTCTGTCCCCTTAACAAGACAGGTCCCTCATGCTTTCACAAGCTTTTAATCATTATTCTTGCATTTCAAGTGGTTTTGATAAAAATCATTTTGAGAAAGAATAAATACAAGTTCCAAGAAGTATGAAGGCATGTTTATCATTTTTGCATACTTTGGGGGGGGGGATGAATATTTGAAATACAGTGAATTTTTAAAAAAATATATTTTATTGATTTCTCACAGAGAGGAAGGGAGAGGGATAGAGAGTTAGAAACATGGGTGAGAGAAACATTGATCAGCTGCCTCTTGCACACTCCCCACTGGGTATGTACCCGCAACCAAGGTATATGCCCTTGACCGGAATCGAACCCGGGAGAAACTGTAGTTTAACTCTAACCCTGCTGTTTGGTTTCTGTACTTATTTTATTGCAAAAATAATAGAAAAATTATTTTGATTTTCTGGATTATATAAATCACCCCATTCGATTAAATACCCTATTGATAGTAATGTGAATATCCCATTGGTTGTGGTCACACTGGTTATAGAAGCACATTCTTCTGTACCTGGGAAGGACAGCACAGTTATCCCAAGGTCAGAGGGCTCCAGTTAATGTGTCCCTGATGACTCAGTGTCCGGAGACCCAAAACTGTAATTTAGATAACATACTTAAGTCTGACCAAGTTCCTCATTTCAGACCCGAGGGCTCTAGATAATGTGTTTCTGTCAAGTCAGTGATCCAGATACCCAAAACTATAATTTAGATAACATGCTGCTTCTGCTTCTGTAAACTGCTTTTTTTGCAAACCAGGTTCCCCATTCCAAACCCTGGGATGTAATCAATACCTTTGTGATCTTTGCCTCTTTAATTTGACTTCTTGAGGCGTTCTTCTATGATTCGCGGGGTACATTACAACAACTCAAGGGGCCAAAGAGCTGCATGTGGCTCACGAGCCACAGTTTGCGGACCACTGGGTTAGGGCAATAAAGTGACTGTTTAACATTAGAACATGAGAGAAGGGGGAAACGGATGTCCTGATCATTTCTTGCTGGTCTCATCCCCAGCAACCCAGGCATGGCGGGACCTGCACTCGGCGAGCTCCCGGAGATAACACACCGCAACATTGTTGTTACAGGGCTAACAACATTTCGTCCTTGCAGGCTAGAGGACGAACGAAGCAACTGAAAACTTTCCACCAATTTGCTCTGCGCGCCCAGTTGTGCGGCCCGCAACCCTGGTATCTGCTGCCCTCGTGCGGCCGCGCCGTGGTCCTGCACCTGAGAGCTTTTGGGAAGCTCCCGAGGCGGGCTTCTTGCCTTGACTCTCGCCGCCGTTGGTTCTGGCAAGGGAAGACAACCTTCTCGGATTGAGGGCCCAAAAGCCGGGGAATGGTGCCCCCTGACGTCGTGCAAGGCAATGTTCATTGATAACTGGGTTATCTCCCCTGGTTCTCTGTTACCCTGCACGGTGAGGTCAGGGCCAGGAGGGCAGGTATTGCCCAAGGCGACACACAGCACCATAGTGCCGGGCGGCCTTGAACCTCGGTGTCGAGTAGGAAAGAGAAGGGGGCGGAGGGCTCCTTGCTGAGGAATTCAAGTGTGAGGGCTCCTCCTCCGCAGCAGCTGCTGGAGCGGAGACTGAGCCTTGGCCCTGGCATCCTAATGGGGCTTGAGAGATACCCCACGGGGCACCCCCTGAGGGCAGTGGGGCAGGATGAGGTCTCTTCAACGCCAGCTCCTGCCTGGGCCACGTGGTCCTGGAAGTTTGGTCAATATGAGGTTGAGGACCATCAACTCAGGGACAAGTTTTGGTATGTGATGCCGGTGATGGTGGCGAGGAAGCCGAAGCGGCGGGGGGGGGCGGAGGGGGGGGGAATGAGTTGCAAGTCTTAGTTTCAGCCCTCACCACCTGACTCACAGCAATCTCTCAGACTCTTCCCCAAACTCACTTCAACTCCCCACCCCACCTCGGTGGGCAGCAGCACCACTGAGGGGGATCCTGAGCCCTGCCTCAATTTACCCCTCTTCCTATTCAGTCCTCTGGTTGGGAGACAAAATTTCCATAGGTCACTTGTGTTTCTGCAAAGGAATTGATTTCTCTGTGTTCTGAAGGATCTTTTCCAGAAGGTTTGTGTATCATGCAACCTTGGAATACTGGTACATAAAGCCTCCTTCTGGAGCGAAGCACAGGCATGATCCAGCATGAGGACGACAATGTGTCTCTCAGGAGCAAGGAGCAGGCGTGATTTCTGCCTGTTATGAAAGACTTGGGCCCCTGAGCTCAGGGTTCTTTTCTGTAATACACCTACAGGGTGTGCAGGTGTCACCTGGCTCTGATCACGGCACCCTGCGGGGCTTGGGACTCAAAGAGCCAATGCAAAATACTTAGACTCTAGTTTACTGCTGGTGCTGTAATCCATGGTCCATCTCTGACCCCGGAGCCTTGTGCCTTCCCCTAGCATCCAGGAGTCTCTGGCAGGCTGACCGGTGAGTTTGCAAGCAGGGTGCAATCTTGGACCTTTCACCATCCTCGACAGCTTCCATCCTCGTCAGTTCCACCTTCCACGCATTTCTGTCCACTTCTTTCCCTTCTCAGCACCACAGCCCCAGTTCAGGCTCCCATCATCTCATGCCGGGAGGGTTTATTGTTGTGGGTTCCTAGCGGATCCCCTCACCCCTCTGCCCCCCAGCCTAGCCTCCTCATGCAGCCAGCGGGCCTGTTCTAAAGCCCACAGTGACCTCCAGTTGCCTTGCTGCTTCAACTCTCCCATGGCTCCTGTCACTTAATAAGAGATTCCCTGACCCATGTGGCCCCTGCTGACCTCACCACCTACGTTGTGCTCCTCTCAACGTCCCACTTTATGCTCGGGTAACACTGAACTGTTTAAATCAAGCTGTTCCCTCTGCATGGACCGTCCTTCACACTCTCTTCTCTGGGAAACTCCTACCCATCCTTCAAAACTTAGCTCATGGAGGCCTTTCTGAAGCCCTAATGACTTCTCAGAGCCACAGTGTTGGAGACAGAGAGGGTGGGGGGAGGGGTTCAAAGACAGGACAGAATGGAGGGACTTTGAATCCTCCACCTTCCAGGCTGCAGCTCTTGCTCAGGAAAGGAAACCAGTGGGTACACAGGACTGCCCTGGACAAAGGTCATCGCTGCCATTCCAGGGACTCATTCTGGCAGGCTGCCATGGACAGGTGGGTAGGTGGTGCCCTGCACGAGGGTGCCAGGCCAAGGGAATGGTGAGGACTGAAGTCATGCTGTGGGCAAGGGCCGGTGGCTGGCATCCTTCCAGCATGGAGGGGCCCTCTCCCCACAGAGCCCGGCACTCGCAGTGGCCTGCGCACCAGGGAGCGTGCACCAGAGAGCTGCTTTGAGTAATTTCTACAAGATGTGAGCGCCTCATGCCCCAGCCCCTGGGGCCACCTGCTGAGGAAAGCAATGTGAGATAGCTATGCTCCAGGTTCCGGATTCTCCCAGAATTCTAAGTATTCTCATTAATGGCTCCAGCAATTCCTCCAACATTCCTGTGGCAGCTCAGCTTGTGGCCTCCTGTTGCCTCTGTGGCCCCGAGGGGCTCGTTCAGCAGATTTGCCCTCTTTCCCCCAGGACATGCCCCTTTCCAGGACAGGCCGAGGCACGTTTCCTCCTCCTTGCTCTCCTCTGCTAGTACCTAGTCCCAGAACCCACTGAAACCGAGGGTCCTTATGACTTTGATGAACTAGTTATAAACCCTGGCTCTAGAAGTCCCCCCCCCTCTCTCTCTCCCTCCCTCCCCCTGCTTTCCCTCTCCTCCTCCCTATAATCAGCAATCCCCGAGGCAGCAGGACCTAACGGATGGTCACAGGGTTCTGACCACTGACAGGCAGAAGGTAACATTTTGACCGACATTATGTTTTAGTTCCAGCCTTAAGGTGGTCTGCTCTCCTGGCTGCTTTTGCATGAAACCAGACAAAGGGATGCGGGGGAAGGCCTAGAGCTGCCCTCCAGACCTGGAGAGATGAGGCATCACCCTCCCCTCATGCCTAACCCATCAGCTCCCAGCAGCACCCCGACCCCTCACCCAGGTGGCTGTGATTTCTGCCCTGTATTATCAGTAACCCGCGTGCCAGCGGGAAGGTCAGCTTCCCGTTCTCCTGGGTGGTTCTGTTCATAATCAAATAGCGGCTATTTCTCCCCTGCAGTTCCCGGTGTTTAGTGTTTGGCTCTGCTAGTGCCGTAAGTAACAGTAACTGAAGTCTTTCTGTTTGTGATGCCGCTGAGGTGTCACTAAGATCTGAGAATAAAGGTCACAACCTCATTCCTCTGCGTTGTGACTGGGGACCAACCTTTAGTAAAATGCAAGAATGCATGGGTGTGGGGCTTAGGTAGGCCCTTCCAGGTTGGGCAGCTGAGCATCCTCAACTCCCTCTGCCTCCCAACATCCTGTCACCGGTGGCCCTGGGGTAAAGCTTTCTGTTTCCCGGCCTTGGATACTTGGGGAGTTGGAAGAATGTGGGGAGGCACAGCCTGTTTCCGTCCACCCTGACTGCCCGGCTGCCTGCTGCAGGCCCTGAGGCCCTGCGTGCTGGGGCTGGGGATTCAGGGAGTTGATGTCCCTAGAGGCACAACTAGAAAGTGGACAGGACAAATACCCCATCTTGGTGCAGTGAAGGGGGAGGGAAGCAGGTAATTCTCTTGTGGCAACTGGGTCCCCATGGCAACCTGGCCCCCACCCTGTGGTGTCTGTGAGGTCACCTGCTTCTCCCAGCTGGAGGAGGGGCAGGGGGCCAGACGTGGAGGCCGTCCCTCCCTCCAGATCCAGCCTGATGGGGATTCTGCTGCTGGTGGTGAAGCTCTCAGTGTTGGTAAGTGGGGGTCTGGGGTAAAGGGAGGGGGGAACCACTCACCTGGCTCTTCACAGCTATCTAGGAGCTGCTGAAGCCGTCCTGGCGAGAGGCAGGTGACCGGCCCGTCCTGAGCAGTGGAGCTGGGTGACTGCCTGCCTCCTGGGTAGCCTGACAGCTCCCAGAAGCCCCACCCCAAGGCACAGTGCCGGCATTTTCTCTAGAGAATCACTCCTGTGGCATAAGCATTGCCTTTCCCATCCATTTAAAATATCTTGCTATATTTATTGATTTCAGAGAGGAAGGGAGAGGGAGAGAGAGAGAGAGAAACACCAGTGATGAATCATTGATTGGCTGCCTCCCGCATGCCCCACACTGGGGACTGAGCCCACGATCAGAGCATGTGCCCTGACCGGGAATTGAACTGTGACCTCAGCTTAACCACTGAGCCACGTCGGCCAGGCCCCATTCATTGTTTTAAGACATGCATATGCTGATGACTGGGGCCACATCTCTGAATTCTAGCTGCGCCGTGGGCTGAGTTATCAGAAAGGGGTCCCCGGGCCTGCTGCTGTGGCACAGAAAGGGGAGATGACATGGTGTAGTAGAAAGAGACAGACAATTGGATTTGAATCTTGGCTGCTCCACTCTTTAGCTGTGTGACTTTGGACAAATTATTCTACCTCTCTGAACCTCCATTTTCTCTCCGATAACTGACCTTATAGGGCCATGTGGGATATAATAGGCTGCTCTCCTCCCTGGTTTCAACACTATCAGCTGGTGGGGGTGAGGGCAGCTGCCATTTCCTACCTCCATCCTAATTCCTCCTCTAGTTGGACCCCTGTGTTCCCTTCCTTTCTCAGCATAGCTCCATCCCCTCAGCTCTGCCGATCCCCCCATATGGGAGGGCATACAGCCAACCCCAGATTGTTGCCTCTCACCCCGTCCCTGCGGGCTCCAGATGGTCCTGTGGACAAGGACACACGGGGTCCAGACTGGTGGGTTGGTGGTACTCAGGGACTGGGGGTATCAGGGCTCTGAGGAGGGGCTTCTCAGCTCCAAGACTCAAGTGAAACTTTTTCATTTACAGTCTCTTTCCCCATCCAACCCCACTCTTCCTCCCAATGGATGGGAGACATCATATCTACCCTGTCACCCAGGACAGAAATATGGACATCATCTTAGGTCCTTGCCTCTCCTTCACCCCTCTCAGTAGGTCAGTCATTAATTCTGTCCCTGTCCCCCATGCCTCACACCTCTCTACCCCTAATGACATTGCTCGTTGCTACCAGCTGTCCTTATGACACCAAGAAGCAACGGATGTGCAGAAAAGCCCAGAAGCTTGGGAGAAGAAACTGACTTGGATTTAAATTCTACAGGATTAGAGGGCTGAGGGCGATGGTCACTCCTATATCATCAACATTATCATTACCATCATCACCAGTCAATCTCCTTCGGTCTGGAGTTTTATAAATAACTAGAGGCCCTGTGCATGAAAGTCATGCACTTGGGGGTTCCGCAGCCCGGCCTGCACCCTCTCGCAGCCTGCAATCAGACACCCTTAGCACTGCCGTGGAGTCAGGAGAGGCTCCCACCACTGCTGCTGTGCTTGCCAGCCATGAGCCCAGCTTCTGGCTGAGTGGTGCTCCCCCTGTGGGAGCGCACTGACCACCAGGGGGCAGCTCCTGCATTGAGCATCTGTCCCCTGGTGGTCAGGGCGCATCATAGTGACCCCGTCGTTCTGTCGTTCAGTCGATTTGCTTATTAGCCTTTCATTATATAGGATTATTTAAATCCATAAGAGAGAAAACCACATGTAATATGAGACACTTTCTAAGAGACGTTACCTCCGCTCCTGAGAATGGAGTCCTTAGAAGTGAGCAGATAAGGATCACTCTTATGTGTCGGGTATCTGAGGGCTTGAGAGGAAGAGGGCCTGGCTCAAGGTGACCTGGCAGCCCCAACCCCTACAATAAAACTCGGGTAGGGTTCCTGCCCCCAGTGAGTGACGACGGGTGACGGTTGTCTCCCCTTTTCCTGCAGCTGGTCCAGAACCGGGTCCACCTCTACAATGTTCTGCTCCTTAAGATCATCCTCTTCAACCACTGGCTGTCAGGGCTGCTCCAGCAGGCCCAGGGGTCCTGCAGCCAGCAGGCCCACCCACTGCCCGGGCTCACAGCCTGCCCCGTGGGCTCGGTCCTACGGGCTGGGCTGGCACTGATGGAGGTCCCTGTGTGTCTGGTTCTGAGGGTGCCCAGGTTAGTGTGGGCGGGCATGCTGGGCTGTGCCCGGGCCCTGGGCCTGGACCCAAAGCAGCCAAGTGCCTGGGAGCAGCTGGGTCTATCTGCGGCCACCTGGATGGACCTACTTCTGTCGTGTCTGCACAGCCTGATGTTGGCAGCCTTGCTGCTGCTGCTGCTCACCTGCAGGCTGCTGTGGAAGGCCCACCGCTGCAGCCTGGGCTGGCTGCCCAGCAAGGTGGGTGGCAGCGTGCAGGCCAGACTGCTGGGGGCAGGCCTGGGGGGCTGGGCATGAGCAGGGCTGGGCTAGAGGGCTAGCAGTCGGGCAGTGCAGCCCTGTGAGCTCGTGGTGGCCACCTGCCCATCCTCTTCGTCCCTCTAGGTTCTGTTGGAGAACCAGGTGGTGCTGGGGCTACTGGCCTCGATGAAGCGTCTGTACTGGTGGGTGGAGAGCACGCTGGTGGTTACCTCCTGGCACCTGGCCTATCTCGTCACTTGGACCACCTGCCTTGCTTCCCACCTGCTGCAGGCTGCCTTCGAGCACACAGCCCAGTTGGCCCTTGCCCAGGCCCCGGAGGCTGAGCCCCAGGAAGCTGAGTCTCTATTTGAGTCCCCATTCATTGGGTCTCTGGTTCTCAAGGCTGGGCCAGTCCTGCCAGAGCATGAAACCCTTAGAGAATAAATGTGTGTTCATCTGCCTCTCCTGGTCTTCTCTGGTCTAGGCTCTCACTGGGCTGGAGGGATGTGTGTGCACCTGTGTGTGTGTGCATGTATATGTATGCATGTGTGTGCCTGCATGCGTGCCCTAGGGCTGCCTCTGGGAAGGAAATCACATTCTGTGAGCACCTCATACATGCCAGACAACCACCTCAGACACTACACACATGTAATTTTGTTTAAATCTCGTAGTAGCACAGGCATCAGGTTTGATTAGCGCCATTTTCCAGATAAGAAAACTGAGCCTCAGAAGGTTGAACAATCCCAAGGGCCCAGAGCAAATCAGGGGAAAAGCCAGAACTGGACCCTGGATTTTTTGTTTCCCAGAACCCCTAACTTTCTCCAGGTCCTGTCCCTGGTTCTCAGGATGGTTGGTATCTGGGGCTTTAGAGGAGACGGGTAGTTAGAGACTCTGGCCTTTGGGGGGTGCCAGGGCCTCACATTTCAGAGATTTAGAAAATTCCTTTGAGAAGTAGTTACTCCTGAGTCAGTCTGTAGCTAACCCATCCATTCATTTACACACTTAGCCAGTCAATTTCCCATTCACCCACCCACCCATCCACCCACCCAATGCACCCACCCACCCATCCATCCATATATCCACCCACCTACTCAACCATCCATCCATCCATCCATCCATCCTCAGCTTATCACCCTCCCACCTACCTATTCATTCACCTACTCACCCACAAATCCATCAACAGATCTATTCATCCATCCACCCATCTGTCCATCCATCCATCCATCCATCCATCCATCCATCCATCCTTCAGCCTGTCTACCCATCTGCACACTCACAAATCCATTCACAGATCCATATACCCATTCTCTGCTGGAAGAGGGAAACATCATTATCTCAGCACTCGCCCCTAGCTGCCCAGTCCTGCCGAGGGAGGCTCATACAGCTAGGAGAGCTCAGGCCGCAGTGGGTCACATCCCCCAGACACCACTTAGGTGAGTGATACTGTGAAATGGGGTTGGGGCGGGGGGAGGGATGATTTCTTGAGAGTTAGCCATACCCTCCATTCACTCCCAAGCCTGAGGGTGGTGTGAGTGCGGGAAGATGTTCCAAAGAGCTCTGCCCTGCTTCTCCTTCTCCCTTCTGGTTCCCAGGGAAGTCAGGGCCGGATTTCTGCCCTGTCTCCCATATGGAGCTGCAGATGGCCCAGGGCAGGTGTGCAGTGAATTTCCAGGCCCTTCCTCCAAGTCCGAGGAGCAGTCCCAGCCTGTCCTTGTGGGGAGACTTGTGAAGGGCTCCCGTCTGGCCAATGAGGCAGAACACCTGCTGGGGAGGGCTCTCCACGGCCCTGGAGAAGGAGTAGACGCTACTGGGATTCCAGAACACACACCCAGCTCACAGGCAAGCTGGGTGCAGAAGTGTGCAGCCTCGGGGGTGGGGAGAGAGCCCCAGAGCAGCATGGGGAGCTGGATGGGCCTTGCCCTGCCAGGGACCAGGCTGGTGCTTGACAAGGCTGGGCCTGCAGGGCCTGAGGGAGGGAGTGGGGGAGGGAAGGAGGGGCAGGTGGAGAAAGGCCTCAAAGTGGGGTGGGGGGTGCATGGGGAGAAAGGACCGGAGGCAGGATGAGCTGGAGGATGGGCTGGAGGCCAGGACCGGCCGGGAGGTTCTGGACTGTGTCTGTGATACTGCTATCTTTTACTTCTACTAAATTAAAAAAAAATTACCAAAAATACAGAGATGTTAGGTAAAAATGTTTCCTTATTCTCTGGTTCTAAGCTTGAGGAAAACATAGTCCACTGTGTCCTGCATGTCTTTCCAGGCTGGGTTCTGGGACACAGGCTGACACCTGAGTCTGCCCTGGGCAGTGTGCAGGCTGGAGAGCTGGGGAAGCACCGAGTGGGAGAGGCTAGTGAGAGGACACGGCCCTTCCCAGGCTGAGCCAGAGGCTGGAGGAGAAGGCCCGGGGCAGGTGCTTGGGCTCCATGGCTCTGCCCCGTCTCTGTGACCTTAGCTAAGGCTCTAACCCCCTCTGGCCCTCAGTTTCCACATCTGTACAGTGTGGGGTGACCAGGTGATCTCTGATGAGATAGTCAGCATTTGAGAGACCTCAATGTCATGAACACCCCAGCTAGGAGTTGGTGCGGGGCTGGGGAGGCGCCAGGCCTGTGTGTGCAGATCTGTGGGCAGGGCCCTTATAGGAGCTGAGATCTGGTTCCATAAGACATAGGCATCCAGGCCCTGAGTGTAAGTCCTCCCAGGCCTCCCAAGGACCCTGGAGTCCTGGAGCTGGGGCTGGGGCTGGTGCTGGGGAGGGAGGGAGGGACGGGAGAGAATCTGCCCCTTGCACACACTGGGCAGATCGGAGGCTTTGGGATCAGAAAGCCTCAGGGTTTGAATCCTGGACCCACAACCTCCTGGCTGAGTGACCTTGGGCTGGTTCCTTAACCCTGCGAGCCTCAGTTCCCCCACCTGTGAACAGGCACAAGCAGAGCACCTGGGGCCTCCCAGGGCTGTTGCCTTGTCTGTGCATGAGCAGCACCTGCTCCAGGTCTGATGCAGGAGGTGCTGGGACCCCCTGGGAGCCCAGCCCCCGCTCCTGGGCCTGCCACCTCCCCAGGGGCTACAGGGACCCCGTTCTGAGGTCAAGGGTGAGGGCAGTCAGTCTGCCTGTCCCAGGCCTTTGAGTGTGAAG